AAAATAAACGGTTTCTTTCATCATTTCACATTATCACATGAATGCTTCTTTTCAGTTCCGAACGATCACTCAGGGAGATGAGGACGCGCTGGATTGCTGATCTGACTTTTTGGGTAAAAAAGGATGTTATGTTCACTACGTGCGCTGGTCTCCAGAATCTACCAGGACCTCTTAATCTTATCAGAGCTTATGCAAGAAGATCCAAAACAGTTACAGACTAACATACATGATTCGGCTCTTTCCGTTTTTTGCCGACAGGATCCGCAGCTGCCTCTTCGGCTGTCACCAATGACATCTCAAGTTCAAGCAGTCCCATAATAAACAGATCATCTTCTTTATAATCGTCATCTTTCTTCTTTTCTCCTGAGCTGTCCTGAAACGCAATGAATATTTGAAAATTGAAATGCTTGATACATGTCTAAGAACTTCCAAATAGTTTTAGAAAATAGCAGAATATCAGGTTCGCGGAGGTTGTGTTCATACTTTCAGTGAAAGCTGATTTGGGGCGGACTGCAGACGTCAAGGGCTAGCTGGCGGTGGGTTGTACCATCAAATGTGGCTATCATCATTGAATTACCAGTAACTTGTGGTAAATTGACTCTCAAAGGTCGGGAAAAGTAGGGAGAAGTTTTTGATGAGATCAATTGTCTGAAAGTATAAAAGACAAACCTTCGCAAGGGTGTGATGGCGTTTATCAGTGACCACAGGCCACCATCCCCTCAGGGCGTTTGAATCAAACAAGTTCACCGTCTCAAGTTCAGCGTCTGGGGGCCTTCTATACTTCTAAAAACACAAACGTGAAACGAAAAGCGGATAATGGAGCAAGGAAAGAGTCGGTGAATGCCAATGGTCCTGGTAGCTACAGTACCATTGGTTTGGGATACGGTATTTTAGTCTTCTTGCGTATTTTACATCCACATCGAGTATCTTTACAATACAAGCAGAGTCTGAAAATGGTTTCCAATCAGAAAAGATCCTCGAGGAACAAATTCCTCTTTGTAGGAACGGGACTTACCTCACACAACAACATCTCCGACTGCAGACAGTACATCTTTCACGGACCCTTCGCTTCCTTATAATTCCAATATCTTCCGGATCAGCTATCCCCTCTGAAAGTGGATATTTTCGAATGTCTTGAATAAGAAAAAATCGTGAAGAGCACCAATAGAGATCAGATTACCTTTAAAATGAGTCATATCCATAGCCATCTGTCCTAGCATCACATCTTTTCGGAATTTATTCTTATCCCATAATTGGATGATCAACAGTGGCTCCACTAGCGACTCGCTGGCTTTTCTGAATTATTTTTGGCTATAGTACGACCACAGATTGTTACGGTTTTTGGCATACTAAAATGCATGGAGCAGAGGTAGTGCAGTGGCAAGTGGCGTACTGTAACACATGCATGGTCGCGGGTTCGAGCCCCAGATCAATATCCACCTAGGCCAACCGAGCTTTCCATCCTTCTGAGGTCGGATAGTTTTTAACAGATCCATCTGGAAGGATGAAAG